AGTCAAGGCACTACCGCGCGAATTCAACAGGTACGTAACGCCTAGTATGTTTACTAGTGATGTTTCCGATCCTTACGAAATGTTAAAACGCTCGATTCTTAAACGAGGAGACCTAACCGATCGACAAAGGTTAGATCAACTCTTCAATAACATCGACCTGCAACACGGTTCTGCGACGGACATGTTGCAACGGATGAGAGAGGTTATAGGCCCAAGAACTTTCGACGAAGGTCTATTCAAACAACTCTTCTTGTCAAAACTTCCCCAACAGGTGCAAGCAGTTCTGGTCTCGTTCCAGAACAACGCTTTAGACGAGGTAGCTGCATCTGCCGACCGCATTTTAGAAATTACGAAACCTTCTACTACCGAGGTATTTTCAGTTAAAGAAAAACCTCAAACGACTCAGAATGATATAAACGACTTATGTCACACACTCACGCGTTATCTTAGTCTTCGTACCGACCGTAAGAGATCGCGCACACCACGTAGAAGCATTTCACGTAAGCGATCTGTCTCTAGACCACGAGAGACAGATAACCCCGACTGATCACAATCTGATCATCGACACGCGCAAACGGAGACTAGTAGACGGAAACACTAATTTGTCCGTTTGCGTAACTTCCTTTTCTGCTTGCAGATTATCCCCAGTCACAGTTAAGCATATGATCGACCCACTCTATCAGCCACTACTCGATAAGTACCCTGGGATACAACAAACGCAACCAAGATTACAGTGTGTAACCAGCAATGTTACACATCACATCACGACTACAGGACCACCTGTATTCTTTTAAGCACGACGACTAGCTCCTGAAAAGCTAAGGTTAGCGAAAAACGAATTCGATCACATGATGGACTTAGGAATCATACGACCGTCAAGTAGCCCATATGCATCTCCGTTGCACATGGTCCCTAAAAAGGACAGCAACGATTGGCGTCCAACTGGTGACTATCGGCGATTGAACGCGAAAACCATTCCCGATCGTTACCCGTTGCCTCACATTCACGATTTGACAGCTACCTTGAAAGGTACAACTGTCTTTTCGAAAATCGACTTGGTTAAAGCGTATAACCAAATCCCTATGGCTACTGACGACATACCGAAAACAGCTATCATAACTCCCTTCGGACTCTATGAATTTTTGCGAATGCCTTTCGGTCTAAGGAATGCTGCTCAAACATTCCAAAGATTCATAGACGACGTTTTTCGAGGTCTGAACTTCGTACATGCGTATGTTGACGACTGTCTAATCGCAAGTCCGGACAGAGAAACACATCTCAAGCATCTGGATCTTGTTTTCGAACGACTTCAAAAACATGGCATAACTGTAAACGTTCAGAAATGCCAATTCGGAACCGACTCGTTAGACTTCCTAGGACACACTATCGATGCTCAAGACATTCGACCTCTTAGGACCAAAGTGGCGGCCATTCTGGATTACCCAGAACCGACCACCGTCAAGCAATTACGCACGTTTAACGGCCTGGTAAGTTTCTATAGACGTTTCATACCGAAATGAGCATTACTCATGAAACCTCTAACCGACCAACTTCGTGGAAATGCGAAATCCATTAATTTGGACGACACCGCACGAAAAGCATTCTCCACAGTTAAGGAACTGATTGCTAAAGCAACAATGCTCGCACATCAGGACACCGAAGCACCCATTAGCATCGCAGTAGACGCATCCGACTCGGCAATCGGAGGAGTCTTACAACAATGGGTTAACAACTCCTGGCAACCCTTGGCATTTTTCTCTAGAAGGTTGCTAGACACCGAATCGAGGTACAGCACATTCGGTAGGGAACTCCTAGCTATGTATTGTGCTGTACGGCATTTTCAACACTACATCGAAGGTCGTGAATTCACTCTTTTCATGGACCATAAACCGCTCACTTTCTCGTTAAGCTCTCCTTCTGACAAGTACTCTCCCCGTTAGTCTCGACAACTGGACTGCATTTCGCAGTTTACTTCAGACATTCAACACATCTCTGGAGCAAACAATGTAGTTGCAGACGCTTTATCTCGCATAACTTCCTTGAACAGTTTCCAAGGAATCGACCTTCTTAAACTCGCCGAGCTTCAAAAAGAAGTGTGGCAAGCCCATTTGGCCACTGTATCATCTGTCTATTCATTGTAACTTAGACTCGTAATTCACTATGTTAATTTCGGTGTGTATGATCGAATGCATGTCTGTACATTAACTTTTAAACTATTTTCCTATTGGTTTCAACGTGCAGATAATCGATAATTTATCTACACCCGATTAACCCTCAAATATATATGGATTTTTAACAAACTCACACTCTCTGTTCCCATCGTGTGCTTGCTCACAATACGCTTGTGGATTATCATTATTCATTAATAATAAACTATCTCCATAACTGGTGTTCAGGCTTCTTAATAATCTCGAGTAAATCCGTAATTCTACTAGGAGATTAAGCCTACCTTAAATACTCAGTTACGGAATATTATTATTTGGAGTCAGATATTAAGGACCTTATCCACAACATATTGGTGACCCGCCTTTAGAACGCGCACCATTTTCCTCCAAAGTCTGCTGCATTCTCCTCAAGAGTATCATAAAGAACTTCATATTGGAATTATTATTATAATTAATAACAATCCATTGACAGTCATAATAAATTCACTCATAATATTTTCCCTTTGGAATTATTACTGTATATTCTCATACATATACCCAAAGTGACAATTTTTCTTTTCGGTGAGTCTTATATATATATTTTTTGTTGTTATTTTTGATTTCTCTTCATATTGTATATTACAATCCTCAGCTTATTATTACTATTGCTTTTTCGTATCATGGCACTTGATAATTCGTTAAGCCTTTCATCTAAATCTATTTCCGTGGGTGCCATCTCTGTACCTTTACCCATTTTTAATCCACGAAAGGCTGAACTCTGGTTTGCTCGTTTGGAAAGCTTTTTTGTTGCAAACAAAATCACAAACCAGAGTACGAAATTTAGTTATGCGAATTCACTGCTGCCAGATGACGTCATTGAACAAGTGCCGGATGTCATTTTTAAGCCGGATCCTGACTCACCATTCGATTGTCTAAAAAAAGAGGTCATTCGTGTCACATCTCTCACCGACCAACAGACAATTGATCAACTTTTAGCCAACGTAGAGCTAGGTGACAATACACCGTCACAGTTAAAACGCCACATGACAAACTTATTAGGAAATCGTACAGTAGACAAACGTCTACTATATCAATTGTGGCTCAGACGTCTCCCTCAAAACATTCAACAGATACTAGCAGTTGGAGACGAAGACGTTGATTTTGATAGACTAGCAGACATAGCCGACAGAATTTACGAACGGTCCAAGACTCACCTTGTATCTCAAATCCAATCAAGCTCAGCTGACGAGATCGCCGAGTTACGACGATCAGTTGATACCCTTACGAAACAGATAGCTCAGATCCAATTATTGAATGCCTCCCACAGCAAGCGTAGAGGAACATCCACAAGCCGTAGACGACGTAGTCCAAGCACTACTAGATACAACATTTGTTGGTACCATAGAACATATGGCAAACAAGCTAGAAAATGTACTCCGCCTTGTAACTTTGCAAGCACACAGAAAAAGGAACGTCAAGACCGTAGGTTAATGACGACTGCACTCACTGACCACAACTTTCAAGACAGTCGTCTATTATATGTTACAGACAAAAGAACCGGCACACAGTTTTTAGTCGACACTGGGGCAGAGGTTAGTGTAGTACCACCTACTGCACTCGAGAAAAACACACCTGACCCCAAACTAAAACTACAAGCTGCAAACAGGTCTGACATCAAGACGTACGGAAAAAGGCGGTTGCAATTAAATTTCGGTCCTAAATCTATTTTTTCCTGGAGTTTCATCATAGCGGACGTCCTCGTTCCTATAATCGGCATTGATTTTCTGCAATTCCACAAAATACTGGTAGATGTCAGAAATAGGAAACTTGTCCTTGCCGAACAGAGTAAGGAAATTAGAGGAATTATATCAAATGAGACTTCCATACATTTATTAGTTAAACCTCATCATGAGAACGACAAATACGTCAATTTACTTAATCAGTTTCCAGATTTATTACGACCGAGTTTCAAACACGACAAACCGACGCATACCGTCGTACACCACATAAAGACAGAGGGTCCACCTGTGTTCGCACGTCCAAGACGCCTTGATCCCTCTCGTCTGGCTATCGCAAAGAACGAATTCAACAAAATGATTGAGTTGGGCATCATACGCCCCTCTGATAGTCCGTGGGCATCACCGCTCCATATGGTACCTAAGAAAAACTCTTCCGAAGTTGGACCGTGCGGTGACTATAGAGCTCTCAACAGCCGGACCATACCAGATAGATATCCTCTCCCACATCTGCATGACTTCACTCATAGCCTATCTGACGTGTCGATTTTTTCAAAAATTGATCTCGTCCGTGCTTACCATCACATTCCAATTCATCCAGACGATGTTCCTAAAACAGCCATTACTACCCCCTTTGGACTATACGAATTCGTCCGCATGCCTTTCGGATTAAGGAATGCTGCACAAAGTTTCCAGCGTTTTATTGACCAAGTGGTACGGGGCTTACCGTTTGTGTATGCTTACATAGATGACCTACTTATAGCAAGCAAAGATGAAAATGAACATCTAACTCATCTGAAAATGCTTTTTGAGAAGCTAAACGAGTATGGGTTAGCGGTCAATCCTGACAAATGTGAGTTCGGAAAACAATCCCTCACCTTTTTAGGTCACGTACTTGATAAGCAAGGCATTAAACCAGTTCCTGTGGAAACACAAGCTATCAAAAATTATCCTTTGCCTGTTTCATTCAAGAAACTACGACGTTTCCTTGGGATGATCAACTTTTACAGACGTTTTATCCCTAAATGTGCAGACTTAGCAAAACCACTAACTGATTTATTAAGGGGACGAGCTAAATCATTAGCAATGACACCGCAAGCAATTCAAGCATTTGATCAGTTGAAAAGCGCTTTAAGCACAGAGGCATTACTCGCACGACGAAAGGTTGATGCACCTTTAGCAATAATGACCGACGCTTCTAACGTAGCAGTAGGTGCTGTACTCCAGCAACGTGTCAATGAACAATGGCAACCCCTTGCATTTTTCTCAAAAAAGCTGAACGCAACGCAAACGAAATATAGCACATTCGGTAGAGAACTGTTGGCTATCTACTTAGCCATCAAACACTTTCGCTACATGTTAGAAGGCAATTCTTTCACGATATATACTGATCACAAACCCCTAACTAAGTCCTTGATGCACAATCATGATAAATATAGTCCGCGCGAAATTCGTCAACTAGAATTCATTTCACAATTTGCAGCTGATATACGCTATATTAAAGGCAATGCAAACGAGGCAGCAGATGCACTATCGAGATTAAATATCAATACCTTCTCGATCCCTGATATAGACTATCAAGAAATGGCAAAGCATCAAAAGCTCGATACGGAGCTACAAAAACTTTTGCAGTCTAAGGAAACGAAATTATTATTCCAAAACATCCCCATAAACAACAAGGACACCTTAACTTGTGATAACTCAACAGGTAAAACTCGCCCTTTTGTACCTTTCGGTATGAGGCGAAATATTTTTGAGAAAAAACAGACAACTGTAAAACCGTCTAAACCTGCAGCAGAGCAAGCACCATTCAAACTACCTGCAACAAGCAACACTTCAAATCGAAATTCAGCAGCAGCACAAACTACAACAAGATCAGGAAGGAGAGTACATTGGCCAGATAGGTATGTAGCAACCACCATATTTATCTAGACCAAATCCTGAGACTACTCTTATAACACATAAAAATTCTATTTTATTTTGATTACTATTTTTTTTATTGGCTCCACGGATCATCATTATGCTTACATTTTAACTTTATCCAATTCGTTCATGTTAAATATACATTCATATATACATGATATAAAAGGTTTTAACACACAAGCTGTTATTACGATTTGACGCTTACGCATCATATCGAGTTTTACATTTATTTTCAAAACAATTCCGTTGTTTGTCTCTTTGTCGAACATGGATGTGAATCCAATTTTTTTTTGGTACATAAAAACATCAATGTTCTGGATGGGAGCTTATGTGGCAAGCCCATTTGGCCACTGTATCATCTGTCTATTCATTGTAACTTAGACTCGTAATTCACTATGTTAATTTCGGTGTGTATGATCGAATGCATGTCTGTACATTAACTTTTAAACTATTTTCCTATTGGTTTCAACGTGCAGATAATCGATAATTTATCTACACCCGATTAACCCTCAAATATATATGGATTTTTAACAAACTCACACTCTCTGTTCCCATCGTGTGCTTGCTCACAATACGCTTGTGGATTATCATTATTCATTAATAATAAACTATCTCCATAACTGGTGTTCAGGCTTCTTAATAATCTCGAGTAAATCCGTAATTCTACTAGGAGATTAAGCCTACCTTAAATACTCAGTTACGGAATATTATTATTTGGAGTCAGATATTAAGGACCTTATCCACAACATATTGGTGACCCGCCTTTAGAACGCGCACCATTTTCCTCCAAAGTCTGCTGCATTCTCCTCAAGAGTATCATAAAGAACTTCATATTGGAATTATTATTATAATTAATAACAATCCATTGACAGTCATAATAAATTCACTCATAATATTTTCCCTTTGGAATTATTACTGTATATTCTCATACATATACCCAAAGTGACAATTTTTCTTTTCGGTGAGTCTTATATATATATTTTTTGTTGTTATTTTTGATTTCTCTTCATATTGTATATTACAATCCTCAGCTTATTATTACTATTGCTTTTTCGTATCATGGCACTTGATAATTCGTTAAGCCTTTCATCTAAATCTATTTCCGTGGGTGCCATCTCTGTACCTTTACCCATTTTTAATCCACGAAAGGCTGAACTCTGGTTTGCTCGTTTGGAAAGCTTTTTTGTTGCAAACAAAATCACAAACCAGAGTACGAAATTTAGTTATGCGAATTCACTGCTGCCAGATGACGTCATTGAACAAGTGCCGGATGTCATTTTTAAGCCGGATCCTGACTCACCATTCGATTGTCTAAAAAAAGAGGTCATTCGTGTCACATCTCTCACCGACCAACAGACAATTGATCAACTTTTAGCCAACGTAGAGCTAGGTGACAATACACCGTCACAGTTAAAACGCCACATGACAAACTTATTAGGAAATCGTACAGTAGACAAACGTCTACTATATCAATTGTGGCTCAGACGTCTCCCTCAAAACATTCAACAGATACTAGCAATTGGAGACGAAGACGTTGATTTTGATAGACTAGCAGACATAGCCGACAGAATTTACGAACGGTCCAAGACTCACCTTGTATCTCAAATCCAATCAAGCTCAGCTGACGAGATCGCCGAGTTACGACGATCAGTTGATACCCTTACGAAACAGATAGCTCAGATCCAATTATTGAATGCCTCCCACAGCAAGCGTAGAGGAACATCCACAAGCCGTAGACGACGTAGTCCAAGCACTACTAGATACAACATTTGTTGGTACCATAGAACATATGGCAAACAAGCTAGAAAATGTACTCCGCCTTGTAACTTTGCAAGCACACAGAAAAAGGAACGTCAAGACCGTAGGTTAATGACGACTGCACTCACTGACCACAACTTTCAAGACAGTCGTCTATTATATGTTACAGACAAAAGAACCGGCACACAGTTTTTAGTCGACACTGGGGCAGAGGTTAGTGTAGTACCACCTACTGCACTCGAGAAAAACACACCTGACCCCAAACTAAAACTACAAGCTGCAAACAGGTCTGACATCAAGACGTACGGAAAAAGGCGGTTGCAATTAAATTTCGGTCCTAAATCTATTTTTTCCTGGAGTTTCATCATAGCGGACGTCCTCGTTCCTATAATCGGCATTGATTTTCTGCAATTCCACAAAATACTGGTAGATGTCAGAAATAGGAAACTTGTCCTTGCCGAACAGAGTAAGGAAATTAGAGGAATTATATCAAATGAGACTTCCATACATTTATTAGTTAAACCTCATCATGAGAACGACAAATACGTCAATTTACTTAATCAGTTTCCAGATTTATTACGACCGAGTTTCAAACACGACAAACCGACGCATACCGTCGTACACCACATAAAGACAGAGGGTCCACCTGTGTTCGCACGTCCAAGACGCCTTGATCCCTCTCGTCTGGCTATCGCAAAGAACGAATTCAACAAAATGATTGAGTTGGGCATCATACGCCCCTCTGATAGTCCGTGGGCATCACCGCTCCATATGGTACCTAAGAAAAACTCTTCCGAAGTTGGACCGTGCGGTGACTATAGAGCTCTCAACAGCCGGACCATACCAGATAGATATCCTCTCCCACATCTGCATGACTTCACTCATAGCCTATCTGACGTGTCGATTTTTTCAAAAATTGATCTCGTCCGTGCTTACCATCACATTCCAATTCATCCAGACGATGTTCCTAAAACAGCCATTACTACCCCCTTTGGACTATACGAATTCGTCCGCATGCCTTTCGGATTAAGGAATGCTGCACAAAGTTTCCAGCGTTTTATTGACCAAGTGGTACGGGGCTTACCGTTTGTGTATGCTTACATAGATGACCTACTTATAGCAAGCAAAGATGAAAATGAACATCTAACTCATCTGAAAATGCTTTTTGAGAAGCTAAACGAGTATGGGTTAGCGGTCAATCCTGACAAATGTGAGTTCGGAAAACAATCCCTCACCTTTTTAGGTCACGTACTTGATAAGCAAGGCATTAAACCAGTTCCTGAGGAAACACAAGCTATCAAAAATTATCCTTTGCCTGATTCATTCAAGAAACTACGACGTTTCCTTGGGATGATCAACTTTTACAGACGTTTTATCCCTAAATGTGCAGACTTAGCAAAACCACTAACTGATTTATTAAGGGGACGAGCTAAATCATTAGCAATGACACCGCAAGCAATTCAAGCATTTGATCAGTTGAAAAGCGCTTTAAGCACAGAGGCATTACTCGCACGACGAAAGGTTGATGCACCTTTAGCAATAATGACCGACGCTTCTAACGTAGCAGTAGGTGCTGTACTCCAGCAACGTGTCAATGAACAATGGCAACCCCTTGCATTTTTCTCAAAAAAGCTGAACGCAACGCAAACGAAATATAGCACATTCGGTAGAGAACTGTTGGCTATCTACTTAGCCATCAAACACTTTCGCTACATGTTAGAAGGCAATTCTTTCACGATATATACTGATCACAAACCCCTAACTAAGTCCTTGATGCACAATCATGATAAATATAGTCCGCGCGAAATTCGTCAACTAGAATTCATTTCACAATTTGCAGCTGATATACGCTATATTAAAGGCAATGCAAACGAGGCAGCAGATGCACTATCGAGATTAAATATCAATACCTTCTCGATCCCTGATATAGACTATCAAGAAATGGCGAAGCATCAAAAGCTCGATACGGAGCTACAAAAACTTTTGCAGTCTAAGGAAACGAAATTATTATTCCAAAACATCCCCATAAACAACAAGGACACCTTAACTTGTGATAACTCAACAGGTAAAACTCGCCCTTTTGTACCTTTCGGTATGAGGCGAAATATTTTTGAGAAAAAACAGACAACTGTAAAACCGTCTAAACCTGCAGCAGAGCAAGCACCATTCAAACTACCTGCAACAAGCAACACTTCAAATCGAAATTCAGCAGCAGCACAAACTACAACAAGATCAGGAAGGAGAGTACATTGGCCAGATAGGTATGTAGCAACCACCATATTTATCTAGACCAAATCCTGAGACTACTCTTATAACACATAAAAATTCTATTTTATTTTGATTACTAATTTTTTTATTGGCTCGACGCATCATCATTATACCTACATTTTAACTTTATCCAATTCGTTCATGTTAAATATACATTCATATATACATGATATAAAAGGTTTTAACACACAAGCTGTTATTACGATTTGACGCTTACGCATCATATCGAGTTTTACATTTATTTTAAAAACAGTTCCGTTCTTTATCTCTTTGTCGAACATAGATGTTAATCCAATTTTTTTTTGGTACATAAAAACATCAATGTTCTGGATGGGAGCTTATGTGGCAAGCCCATTTGGCCACTGTATCATCTGTCTATTCATTGTAACTTAGACTCGTAATTCACTATGTTAATTTCGGTGTGTATGATCGAATGCATGTCTGTACATTAACTTTTAAACTATTTTCCTATTGGTTTCAACGTGCAGATAATCGATAATTTATCTACACCCGATTAACCCTCAAATATATATGGATTTTTAACAAACTCACACTCTCTGTTCCCATCGTGTGCTTGCTCACAATACGCTTGTGGATTATCATTATTCATTAATAATAAACTATCTCCATAACTGGTGTTCAGGCTTCTTAATAATCTCGAGTAAATCCGTAATTCTACTAGGAGATTAAGCCTACCTTAAATACTCAGTTACGGAATATTATTATTTGGAGTCAGATATTAAGGACCTTATCCACAACATATTGGTGACCCGCCTTTAGAACGCGCACCATTTTCCTCCAAAGTCTGCTGCATTCTCCTCAAGAGTATCATAAAGAACTTCATATTGGAATTATTATTATAATTAATAACAATCCATTGACAGTCATAATAAATTCACTCATAATATTTTCCCTTTGGAATTATTACTGTATATTCTCATACATATACCCAAAGTGACAATTTTTCTTTTCGGTGAGTCTTATATATATATTTTTTGTTGTTATTTTTGATTTCTCTTCATATTGTATATTACAATCCTCAGCTTATTATTACTATTGCTTTTTCGTATCATGGCACTTGATAATTCGTTAAGCCTTTCATCTAAATCTATTTCCGTGGGTGCCATCTCTGTACCTTTACCCATTTTTAATCCACGAAAGGCTGAACTCTGGTTTGCTCGTTTGGAAAGCTTTTTTGTTGCAAACAAAATCACAAACCAGAGTACGAAATTTAGTTATGCGAATTCACTGCTGCCAGATGACGTCATTGAACAAGTGCCGGATGTCATTTTTAAGCCGGATCCTGACTCACCATTCGATTGTCTAAAAAAAGAGGTCATTCGTGTCACATCTCTCACCGACCAACAGACAATTGATCAACTTTTAGCCAACGTAGAGCTAGGTGACAATACACCGTCACAGTTAAAACGCCACATGACAAACTTATTAGGAAATCGTACAGTAGACAAACGTCTACTATATCAATTGTGGCTCAGACGTCTCCCTCAAAACATTCAACAGATACTAGCAATTGGAGACGAAGACGTTGATTTTGATAGACTAGCAGACATAGCCGACAGAATTTACGAACGGTCCAAGACTCACCTTGTATCTCAAATCCAATCAAGCTCAGCTGACGAGATCGCCGAGTTACGACGATCAGTTGATACCCTTACGAAACAGATAGCTCAGATCCAATTATTGAATGCCTCCCACAGCAAGCGTAGAGGAACATCCACAAGCCGTAGACGACGTAGTCCAAGCACTACTAGATACAACATTTGTTTGTACCATAGAACATATGGCAAACAAGCTAGAAAATGTACTCCGCCTTGTAACTTTGCAAGCACACAGAAAAAGGAACGTCAAGACCGTAGGTTAATGACGACTGCACTCACTGACCACAACTTTCAAGACAGTCGTCTATTATATGTTACAGACAAAAGAACCGGCACACAGTTTTTAGTCGACACTGGGGCAGAGGTTAGTGTAGTACCACCTACTGCACTCGAGAAAAACACACCTGACCCCAAACTAAAACTACAAGCTGCAAACAGGTCTGACATCAAGACGTACGGAAAAAGGCGGTTGCAATTAAATTTCGGTCCTAAATCTATTTTTTCCTGGAGTTTCATCATAGCGGACGTCCTCGTTCCTATAATCGGCATTGATTTTCTGCAATTCCACAAAATACTGGTAGATGTCAGAAATAGGAAACTTGTCCTTGCCGAACAGAGTAAGGAAATTAGAGGAATTATATCAAATGAGACTTCCATACATTTATTAGTTAAACCTCATCATGAGAACGACAAATACGTCAATTTACTTAATCAGTTTCCAGATTTATTACGACCGAGTTTCAAACACGACAAACCGACGCATACCGTCGTACACCACATAAAGACAGAGGGTCCACCTGTGTTCGCACGTCCAAGACGCCTTGATCCCTCTCGTCTGGCTATCGCAAAGAACGAATTCAACAAAATGATTGAGTTGGGCATCATACGCCCCTCTGATAGTCCGTGGGCATCACCGCTCCATATGGTACCTAAGAAAAACTCTTCCGAAGTTGGACCGTGCGGTGACTATAGAGCTCTCAACAGCCGGACCATACCAGATAGATATCCTCTCCCACATCTGCATGACTTCACTCATAGCCTATCTGACGTGTCGATTTTTTCAAAAATTGATCTCGTCCGTGCTTACCATCACATTCCAATTCATCCAGACGATGTTCCTAAACCAGCCATTACTACCCCCTTTGGACTATACGAATTCGTCCGCATGCCTTTCGGATTAAGGAATGCTGCACAAAGTTTCCAGCGTTTTATTGACCAAGTGGTACGGGGCTTACCGTTTGTGTATGCTTACATAGATGACCTACTTATAGCAAGCAAAGATGAAAATGAACATCTAACTCATCTGAAAATGCTTTTTGAGAAGCTAAACGAGTATGGGTTAGCGGTCAATCCTGACAAATGTGAGTTCGGAAAACAATCCCTCACCTTTTTAGGTCACGTACTTGATAAGCAAGGCATTAAACCAGTTCCTGAGGAAACACAAGCTATCAAAAATTATCCTTTGCCTGATTCATTCAAGAAACTACGACGTTTCCTTGGGATGATCAACTTTTACAGACGTTTTATCCCTAAATGTGCAGACTTAGCAAAACCACTAACTGATTTATTAAGGGGACGAGCTAAATCATTAGCAATGACACCGCAAGCAATTCAAGCATTTGATCAGTTGAAAAGCGCTTTAAGCACAGAGGCATTACTCGCACGACGAAAGGTTGATGCACCTTTAGCAATAATGACCGACGCTTCTAACGTAGCAGTAGGTGCTGTACTCCAGCAACGTGTCAATGAACAATGGCAACCCCTTGCATTTTTCTCAAAAAAGCTGAACGCAACGCAAACGAAATATAGCACATTCGGTAGAGAACTGTTGGCTATCTACTTAGCCATCAAACACTTTCGCTACATGTTAGAAGGCAATTCTTTCACGATATATACTGATCACAAACCCCTAACTAAGTCCTTGATGCACAATCATGATAAATATAGTCCGCGCGAAATTCGTCAACTAGAATTCATTTCACAATTTGCAGCTGATATACGCTATATTAAAGGCAATGCAAACGAGGCAGCAGATGCACTATCGAGATTAAATATCAATACCTTCTCGATCCCTGATATAGACTATCAAGAAATGGCGAAGCATCAAAAGCTCGATACGGAGCTACAAAAACTTTTGCAGTCTAAGGAAACGAAATTATTATTCCAAAACATCCCCATAAACAACAAGGACACCTTAACTTGTGATAACTCAACAGGTAAAACTCGCCCTTTTGTACCTTTCGGTATGAGGCGAAATATTTTTGAGAAAAAACAGACAACTGTAAAACCGTCTAAACCTGCAGCAGAGCAAGCACCATTCAAACTACCTGCAACAAGCAACACTTCAAATCGAAATTCAGCAGCAGCACAAACTACAACAAGATCAGGAAGGAGAGTACATTGGCCAGATAGGTATGTAGCAACCACCATATTTATCTAGACCAAATCCTGAGACTACTCTTATAACACATAAAAATTCTATTTTATTTTGATTACTATTTTTTTTATTGGCTCGACGCATCATCATTATACCTACATTTTAACTTTATCCAATTCGTTCATGTTAAATATACATTCATATATACATGATATAAAAGGTTTTAACACACAAGCTGTTATTACGATTTGACGCTTACGCATCATATCGAGTTTTACATTTATTTTAAAAACAGTTCCGTTCTTTATCTCTTTGTCGAACATAGATGTTAATCCAATTTTTTTTTGGTACATAAAAACATCAATGTTCTGGATGGGAGCTTATGTGGCAAGCCCATTTGGCCACTGTATCATCTGTCTATTCATTGTAACTTAGACTCGTAATTCACTATGTTAATTTCGGTGTGTATGATCGAATGCATGTCTGTACATTAACTTTTAAACTATTTTCCTATTGGTTTCAACGTGCAGATAATCGATAATTTATCTACACCCGATTAACCCTCAAATATATATGGATTTTTAACAAACTCACACTCTCTGTTCCCATCGTGTGCTTGCTCACAATACGCTTGTGGATTATCATTATTCATTAATAATAAACTATCTCCATAACTGGTGTTCAGGCTTCTTAATAATCTCGAGTAAATCCGTAATTCTACTAGGAGATTAAGCCTACCTTAAATACTCAGTTACGGAATATTATTATTTGGAGTCAGATATTAAGGACCTTATCCACAACATATTGGTGACCCGCCTTTAGAACGCGCACCATTTTCCTCCAAAGTCTGCTGCATTCTCCTCAAGAGTATCATAAAGAACTTCATATTGGAATTATTATTATAATTAATAACAATCCATTGACAGTCATAATAAATTCACTCATAATATTTTCCCTTTGGAATTATTACTGTATATTCTCATACATATACCCAAAGTGACAATTTTTCTTTTCGGTGAGTCTTATATATATATTTTTTGTTGTTATTTTTGATTTCTCTTCATATTGTATATTACAATCCTCAGCTTATTATTACTATTGCTTTTTCGTATCATGGCACTTGATAATTCGTTAAGCCTTTCATCTAAATCTATTTCCGTGGGTGCCATCTCTGTACCTTTACCCATTTTTAATCCACGAAAGGCTGAACTCTGGTTTGCTCGTTTGGAAAGCTTTTTTGTTGCAAACAAAATCACAAACCAGAGTACGAAATTTAGTTATGCGAATTCACTGCTGCCAGATGACGTCATTGAACAAGTGCCGGATGTCATTTTTAAGCCGGATCCTGACTCACCATTCGATTGTCTAAAAAAAGAGGTCATTCGTGTCACATCTCTCACCGACCAACAGACAATTGATCAACTTTTAGCCAACGTAGAGCTAGGTGACAATACACCGTCACAGTTAAAACGCCACATGACAAACTTATTAGGAAATCGTACAGTAGACAAACGTCTACTATATCAATTGTGGCTCAGACGTCTCCCTCAAAACATTCAACAGATACTAGCAATTGGAGACGAAGACGTTGATTTTGATAGACTAGCAGACATAGCCGACAGAATTTACGAACGGTCCAAGACTCACCTTGTATCTCAAATCCAATCAAGCTCAGCTGACGAGATCGCCGAGTTACGACGATCAGTTGATACCCTTACGAAACAGATAGCTCAGATCCAATTATTGAATGCCTCCCACAGCAAGCGTAGAGGAACATCCACAAGCCGTAGACGACGTAGTCCAAGCACTACTAGATACAACATTTGTTGGTACCATAGAACATATGGCAAACAAGCTAGAAAATGTACTCCGCCTTGTAACTTTGCAAGCACACAGAAAAAGGAACGTCAAGACCGTAGGTTAATGACGACTGCACTCACTGACCACAACTTTCAAGACAGTCGTCTATTATATGTTACAGACAAAAGAACCGGCACACAGTTTTTAGTCGACACTGGGGCAGAGGTTAGTGTAGTACCACCTACTGCACTCGAGAAAAACACACCTGACCCCAAACTAAAACTACAAGCTGCAAACAGGTCTGACATCAAGACGTACGGAAAAAGGCGGTTGCAATTAAATTTCGGTCCTAAATCTATTTTTTCCTGGAGTTTCATCATAGCGGACGTCCTCGTTCCTATAATCGGCATTGATTTTCTGCAATTCCACAAAATACTGGTAGATGTCAGAAATAGGAAACTTGTCCTTGCCGAACAGAGTAAGGAAATTAGAGGAATTATATCAAATGAGACTTCCATACATTTATTAGTTAAACCTCATCATGAGAACGACAAATACGTCAATTTACTTAATCAGTTTCCAGATTTATTACGACCGAGTTTCAAACACGACAAACCGACGCATACCGTCGTACACCACATAAAGACAGAGGGTCCACCTGTGTTCGCACGTCCAAGACGCCTTGATCCCTCTCGTCTGGCTATCGCAAAGAACGAATTCAACAAAATGATTGAGTTGGGCATCATACGCCCCTCTGATAGTCCGTGGGCATCACCGCTCCATATGGTACCTAAGAAAAACTCTTCCGAAGTTGGACCGTGCGGTGACTATAGAGCTCTCAACAGCCGGACCATACCAGATAGATATCCTCTCCCACATCTGCATGACTTCACTCATAGCCTATCTGACGTGTCGATTTTTTCAAAAATTGATCTCGTCCGTGCTTACCATCACATTCCAATTCATCCAGACGATGTTCCTAAAACAGCCATTACTACCCCCTTTGGACTATACGAATTCGTCCGCATGCCTTTCGGATTAAGGAATGCTGCACAAAGTTTCCAGCGTTTTATTGACCAAGTGGTACGGGGCTTACCGTTTGTGTATGCTTACATAGATGACCTACTTATAGCAAGCAAAGATGAAAATGAACATCTAACTCATCTGAAAATGCTTTTTGAGAAGCTAAACGAGTATGGGTTAGCGGTCAATCCTGACAAATGTGAGTTCGGAAAACAATCCCTCACCTTTTTAGGTCACGTACTTGATAAGCAAGGCATTAAACCAGTTCCTGAGGAAACACAAGCTATCAAAAATTATCCTTTGCCTGATTCATTCAAGAAACTACGACGTTTCCTTGGGATGATCAACTTTTACAGACGTTTTATCCCTAAATGTGCAGACTTAGCAAAACCACTAACTGATTTATTAAGGGGACGAGCTAAATCATTAGCAATGACACCGCAAGCAATTCAAGCATTTGATCAGTTGAAAAGCGCTTTAAGCACAGAGGCATTACTCGCACGACGAAAGGTTGATGCACCTTTAGCAATAATGACCGACGCTTCTAACGTAGCAGTAGGTGCTGTACTCCAGCAACGTGTCAATGAACAATGGCAACCCCTTGCATTTTTCTCAAAAAAGCTGAACGCAACGCAAACGAAATATAGCACATTCGGTAGAGAACTGTTGGCTATCTACTTAGCCATCAAACACTTTCGCTACATGTTAGAAGGCAATTCTTTCACGATATATACTGATCACAAACCCCTAACTAAGTCCTTGATGCACAATCATGATAAATATAGTCCGCGCGAAATTCGTCAACTAGAATTCATTTCACAATTTGCAGCTGATATACGCTATATTAAAGGCAATGCAAACGAGGCAGCAGATGCACTATCGAGATTAAATATCAATACCTTCTCGATCCCTGATATAGACTATCAAGAAATGGCGAAGCATCAAAAGCTCGATACGGAGCTACAAAAACTTTTGCAGTCTAAGGAAACGAAATTATTATTCCAAAACATCCCCATAAACAACAAGGACACCTTAACTTGTGATAACTCAACAGGTAAAACTCGCCCTTTTGTACCTTTCGGTATGAGGCGAAATATTTTTGAGAAAAAACAGACAACTGTAAAACCGTCTAAACCTGCAGCAGAGCAAGCACCATTCAAACTACCTGCAACAAGCAACACTTCAAATCGAAATTCAGCAGCAGCACAAACTACAACAAGATCAGGAAGGAGAGTACATTGGCCAGATAGGTATGTAGCAACCACCATATTTATCTAGACCAAATCCTGAGACTACTCTTATAACACATAAAAATTCTATTTTATTTTGATTACTATTTTTTTTATTGGCTCGACGCATCATCATTATACCTACATTTTAACTTTATCCAATTCGTTCATGTTAAATATACATTCATATATACATGATATAAAAGGTTTTAACACACAAGCTGTTATTACGATTTGACGCTTACGCATCATATCGAGTTTTACTTTTATTTTAAAAACAGTTCCGTTCTTTATCTCTTTGTCGAACATAGATGTTAATCCAATTTTTTTTTGGTACATAAAAACATCAATGTTCTGGATGGGAGCTTATGTGGCAAGCCCATTTGGCCACTGTATCATCTGTCTATTCATTGTAACTTAGACTCGTAATTCACTATGTTAATTTCGGTGTGTATGATCGAATGCATGTCTGTACATTAACTTTTAAACTATTTTCCTATTGGTTTCAACGTGCAGATAATCGATAATTTATCTACACCCGATTAACCCTCAAATATATATGGATTTTTAACAAACTCACACTCTCTGTTCCCATCGTGTGCTTGCTCACAATACGCTTGTGGATTATCATTATTCATTAATAATAAACTATCTCCATAACTGGTGTTCAGGCTTCTTAATAATCTCGAGTAAATCCGTAATTCTACTAGGAGATTAAGCCTATCTTAAATACTCAGTTACGGAATATCATTATTTGGAGTCAGATATTAAGGACATTATCCATAACAGAAGACAGTGATCTTCAGCACGAGTTATCGTCCACAACACTTAAACTATGCATCAAACAGACGGGAACAGGTAAGGAAACCTTACTTTGTGACACATCTACAGGTAGGGATCGCCCAATCGTGCCGAAACATTATCGACGCAATGTCTTCAACACATTGCACAAACTTTCGCATCCAGGTGTACCTATCAAGGACATCACTGCTGAAACAGTGGCCCGCACCTTCGTCGAACGATGGGTAGCAAACTTCGGTTGCCCTTCAACCATCACCATAGACCGCGGACGTCAGTTTGAATCTGATCTTTTCCGTCGTCTGACCACACTTTTAGGAATCACTCGCTTCCGAACGACCGCCTACCATCAACAAGCAAACGTGTTGGTAGAACGTTTTCACCGACAACTGAAAGCTTCGCTATCAGCTGCAAACGTTCACAGTGGACCGACGCTCTTCCACTCGTCTTACTAGGTATCCGCAATGCAGTGAAAGCTGACATTGGATACACTGCAGCTCAACTCGTTTATGGAACAACACTTCGACTTCCAGGAGAATTCGTGGATCCTTCATCCTCTTCAATGAACATGGATCTAACCTCCTACACGAACAGGCTTACAAACGCAATGCGTTCAGTTAAACCTGCTTCCACTCGACCTCAATCAACTGATGTTTTCGTTCAACCTGACTTACGATATAGTACACACGTTTTCGTTCGTCGAGACTCGCATCGACGATCATTCGAATCAGCATACGAAGGACCCTTCAAAGTTCTTCAACGCGAATCTAAGTACTATATAGTCGATAAGAACGGAACCAACGATAGCATCAGCATCAATCGCCTCAAAGCAGCGTACTTAGAAGGAAATCCTATCTACGTCGATTTTCCTTCGTTACAATCGAACGACACGACTCCACTCGTAATTCCTCAACCGACAACCAATACTAGCGATGATACTCCGCATGTATCTGAAAATAAACCTAAAACGACGCGTTCTGGAAGAAGAGTAAGATTTCCAGAACATTTAAACTACTATTGCACGTAAAGCACTTCTCGACATTTTATATTATTTTTTTAAAAACAAATTTTAATATGCTTATATATTTTTATTTCTATTTACAAAAAAACAAAAAAAAACAATTTTTTTTCACGCTATTACGTGTTCATGAGTTTTTTTCCTTTGTGTTTTTACGCACATACGAGTGTATTTTCGACATGCACTTACATTTTCTTTTTTCTTTTCCAGGACGGCTGGAAAAGAACGATGACGTTTATGAGGATCCGAAATTTTCATTGTACATTTTCTTTTTTTACTATGTTGTACCTCCGTCCCATATGGTATGGAAAGACGACCAGACGCTGCTACACTTAGTAAGCTATCAGAAGAGTGTTTACCAACGACAAACTCGTTGGGTTTAAACTTCTGGCTGGCCACGTCATAGGGTCATCACTGCCCCACTAGGGGAAGAGTGATCTGTAGCGGTAAATAAATCCCCAAAATAAATAGCCCTATGTTTTCGACATTGGATGATGAACATATGTTTTAGTGGACTCATCTAGCTGAAGGCGCTCGGTCAATCATCCGCAGCAGATCACGTGTGGTAACGCCGTGTACTTTTATTTGTTTGTTTGACCTTTATTAATTTTCATATAAAAATGCCTTGACAAGTATATGTGTGACCAGATTGTTCGAAATGTATAGCGCAAATACATCACATTTTTCAGATCAACTCCGTCTTCTCATTGTTCTATCGAAATTTATAAAAGGGACTAATTGCTTTAAATTCTTGAAAAGAAGACTCCCTTCGTCTTGCACTAAACGGTTAGATGAACTTGCTAATCTGAAGTGCAAAATTGCATCGGAAAAGGTAAAACTGGAGTTTTACAAAACTTGTGTAGCGGTAAATAAATCCCCAAAATAAATAGCCCTATGTTTTCGACATTGGATGCTGACCATGTGTTTTAGTGGACTCATCTAGCTGAAGGCGCTCGGTCATGCATCCGCACCAGATCACGTGTGGTAACGCCGTGCTCAACATCAACCGCAATCGCTAGCCAGAATAGATCAGAGTATTCCGATATATTGGTCATCGCCAAATATACTCTTCCGATCTCCTCGACTCTGTCTTTTGATTTCTCTGGGTGGGAACGAAATACATTAGAAGGTGTTACTGGTAGAAGCGTTGTCAAACACTGAATACCTGTGACATCATCACTTGCATTAGTACACACATATTTCAAAGACATCTCTATAAATTCTTACGGTCTAATAAGTTACAACCAAATGTGTCTAATCTTTTGCGTCTGGCGAAATCTCATAAAGAAAAATGGAATGATATGTTGAATAAACTAATTGAACTTCATACTCAGGCATCATGCGTATCATCTAATCTCTCTCTTGTATGTCGTATTAAATTTATGAATTTTTGCAGTACTGTGGTTGCTAAAACAAATCATACTACTAAACAAAAGCTGAGTAAATCGCTTATGTATGATAATGATGGAAATTTATTTCAATTTAACCCAGATAAATATGTATCAAATTTATCAACTGTTAGGCTTTCTGTATTCGAGAAAGAAGCTCTATCACTTGGATTTAATTTCTCCGTTGCACATACCAAGATTTCTGATCTGTCGATAGATGCTCAATTTGAAAATCTTTATGATCAGTTGAACCCTCTTGTCCCAACCACCCTGGATAGGAAAAATTGGTTAAAGGTGAAATTGGTTGACGTTGCCCACCACTTTCACGGATCTCAAGTCAGACAAAGAAGTATTTTGACTCCTAAACATTCGGCTGCGTTAAAACACCTCCAAAGTAGATCAGATATTGTGATCCTCAGACCTGACAAAGGTTCTGGGGTGGTCGTTATCAATAAATGTGAATATAAAGACAAAATGTTATCTATACTGGGTGATCAAAGTAAATTCTTACAGGACGTTTCTTCTAATATTAATGTTACAAAATTGGAATCCAGATTGAAGTCCAATCTATTAAAGCTTCTTAAAATGAACGTCATAAACAACGAGGAGTTTAATATACTAAAACCCTCGGGTTCAGTTCTGCCGAATTTATATGGATTACCTAAAATTCATAAACCTAATATTCCATTACGACCAATTTTGTCTATGCGTGGTTCTCCCACACACGAGCTAGCTAAATGGTTAGTAAAACTGTTAAACCCTATTCGTACTAATCTATGTAAGTCCTCTTTAAAAGATACATTTGAACTAATTGACTTTCTTGGTGATATTAATATTAAAGATAAATCTTTGCATTCATTTGATGTAAACTCCCTCTTCACGAATGTACCGTTAACAAAGACGGTGGATTTCCTTTGTGACTATATTTCAAAAAACTTTCCCCTTTTTCCTATCCCGTCACCATTTTTGAAAGATTTACTTTTATTATGTACAGCTAATGTTCAATTTACATTTGATGGTGAATATTTTCGACAAGTTGATGGTGTAGCTATGGGTAGCCCTTTAGGGCCTCTCTTAGCTGAGGTATTCATGTCATATGTGGAAAATATGACGAGCGACCTCATTGGTGAGAACTCTATATAGAAGATATATGGACGATATTCTAATTATATGTGATAAGGATTTTGATGTTTACCGATTACTGGATAAACTCAATGGTGTTCAAAATGATATTGTGATGACACATGAACCAGAAAGTAATGGCCAATTAGCCTTTCTAGACATACTTTTAAGTCGAAGGGATGATGGCACTATTAGACGGTCCGTGTATAGGAAACCAACTTGGACGGGACAATACCTAAATTTCCATAGTTTCTGTCCATTGCAATACAAGAGAGGTCTAGTTAAGTGCCTCTTTAAGAGGACTCGAAGAATATGTACCTCTGATATGGTGGGAAAAGACGAAAAGTTACTGACTGACACTTTAATAGCAAATGGTTATCCACTCAAGTTTATTAATAGGTGTAAAAGTCAGTTAATGCCAAGACCTCTAATTTATTCAGTGCCAAAGAAAAAGGTTTACATCAATCTACCATATAGAGGCGAATCAAACAGTATAGTTTTAAGGCACAGATTGAAAGCAGCCATTGAGAATACGTATTATGCTGCTCAGTTGGTAGTGATTGAAAAGTCTAAGGCCATGATTCATAATAGACCCAAACAATGCACTAATGATTACGTCACATCCCATTGTATTTACCAATTTACATGTTTGTGTGGACACACATACAGCTCTTGTCACTGCACAAATCCTAAAATATCATACACTGCCCCCAAAAAAACCGGAGGCACGTCGGACACTGCTATTAGTCCTAAGGACGAGACTGCACATAAGGCAACTTCAACCACTCACCCTCAGCCCAGATACTCAGCTACCCCAAAATGCCAAACCACTTATGCCTCAATAGCGTCCAAGTGTTACCCTAGCGGCCCCTATAAAATGCCTAAAAATGATCCTCCCAGGAATTGCGCTAACAACTACAGACACCGCTGTACGAAATAATACCAAACTCTCCGTAAAAACCCACCAATACTCCAGCACCCCTAACCCAAAGCATGCACCTTCTCATAGCAATAGAATGCCCTACAACAAACATAGTGAACTGGCAACACCCACTCATCCTAATGTGAAACGACACTCGATAAGAACCACACCCACACGTGATACCCATAAGTCATATAGTGTCAATCTTGTAACCCCAATGAACCAACACAAAACTATACACAACAGAAACACCTCTCCTGGCAACAATAACAGGCATTCCTTCATTCCCTACCAGAAACATACAACCTCCCCAACTAACCACAATAGGACTAGAATTGCCCACCTCACACGAGGAAGCCATAACGTTGGCCTACTTGGGAACCCACCTACTGATTCTAGGTACTATCTAAGTCAAGCCACCCAATACAACGGTTTAGTTTCCCCTAATTCGACATACACACTATCTCATCCTTTTTTATCTCTCTCCCCCTCAACATTACTGCTATGGGGTCTCCAAATGTTGAGGGCGACAATCCCACTATTCTGAAACCGTCTATATACTCCGATTTAATGGGGAGTGGCACATCCTACTCAACTTCGATAACTGTCTCTAGTCTTGAAAACTCTTTGACTGAATCCCCTGATCATTCCCCGGACACATTACCTAACCATTCAACTCTACCTTTCACTCTTAGACATACTTCTTTCACCAAAACCACACCCGACTACCCTTCTTGCATTAACCCTACTGGTAATAAACTAAACGCTCATCAAAGTGAAGTCAACGCCCCCAATTCTTCCTTTTCTCATGGCAAAACAGACAAACCACTCGGTTTACATCATACCCTTCTACTAGACAAACAGTCACCGTACCTGACACTTATGTTAATCAACGCTCGATCTGTACAAAGTAAGATAACTTACCTACGCACCCTATTACTTATAAACAACCCCTCACTTGTTTTGATAACGGAAAGTTGGCTGTCCTCCGATACCACAGACACATATCTACAAATAGACACCTATGAGCTCTTCCGCTGTGATCGAGTCACCAAGAAGGGTGGTGGTTGTCTGGTTTATGTATCAAAAAAATTGAGAGCGGAAATCTATAGCGACGACGTCCTCAGCAAACTTCCTGAATCGATATGGCTTACTGTGCACACTCATGAGTGCAAAATACTAATCGGATGCATATATCGAGCTCCTAACACTCCTAGTTCAACTGACACTATTTTAAGTGAGTCATTTGCTCAGGCTGCCTCGCTTGACTTCACTTACAAAATTGTATGTGGTGACTTCAACCTTCCCACCATCAACTGGAAAACACATTCTGGCCCATTATGCTTTGAAAGCATACTTAGGTCCTTAGACATACACGGCTGGCAACAACATGTACACCTGCCTACACGAAATCACAACATCCTTGACTTGATATTCTGTCATAATGTCACGCCAACATCAATGGTGGTTGGCGAAAAGTTTCACAACAGCGATCACAAAATAGTCCTCTGCACCCTTCCGATTCTTGCCATATGCAACAAATTAAAGACATTAAAAACGCGATTCCAATATAGAGACTATGCAAACGCTGACTGGGAAAACTTTCGATTTCTAATAAAGCACTCTGACTGGGGCAGTTTCTTTACCAGTAATAACCTCTTAGAAACATTAGAAATATTCAATATCACCACCAAATCTGCACTAGACACTACTATACCCTCTAAAATTGGTTTTAAAACAGTTACTCCCTATATAAACCAAAAGACTAGGTCTAAACTGAGAAAACTGAAAAGGATGTACTACATATCAAAAGACTTCAGTGCCCTGCACCAGATATACTCTGTACTTGACAGAGTACAAAGCCAACACAACAAGCATAAACAGGTAGAGGAACGTACTGCGCTCGCTGCTGCATCTAAAGCCCAAGCCTTATGTCGTCTCCTCACGAAACGCATAAGAAAGAACACAGACCACAACATTCACTCCTTACTGCACGATGGAGTAACGTATAATGACCAAACCGTCATATGTGAACTATTAAGTGAATGGTTTTCTCACAATGGGAATACATCTGATTCTCCAGATATCGACATAAAGTGCACCGGCAAAAACTATCTTAGTACCATAAACTTCGACATTAGGAGTATACATACCGCCATTCAAACCCTTAAGCCAAATGCGAGTTCTGGTGCCGATGACATCCCTTCAATCGTTTATAAAATGTCAGGGCCGGACATACAGACGCTACTACTCAAAATATACACATTATCTTTAGAGACAGGTACATATCCGGAAACCTGGAAGGTAACGTATGTTCTTCCCAAACACAAATCCGGACCGAGAAACCTGGTTGAAAACTACAGACCTATAAACATCACTCCAGTCATATCACGCATAATGGAAAAAGTGATACAAAATCAACTATCTGATCACCTACTCAAGGAAGATCTAATAGACCCGTCACAACACGGCTTCATTAGAACAAGGTCGTGCAGTACATGCCTGATAGACTTCTTTAACGAGGTTACTCGTATACGTGACCAGAAGAAACTA